CAAATTGTTGTTTTTCAATTAATAAAAAGTAAAAAGCATCTATAGGAGTTAAACACTGCCTGTAATAATTAAATTACTGTATGGGCAGCAGATGCAAGTGCTAGGCACACAACAATCCGTAGCATTACTTGGCTGCATCATCCAGCATGCTGAACAACTAATTTTGCTTGATGAGAAAAAGAAAGCGTTTGAAACATTTGTGGTTAGCTGAGAGAACAAAACTTTTATCATTTTAGAATCTTACTGTATCTGATCTCATAAAGAGTACTCTGCAATCATTTGGAGAAAGGTGTTTAGAAAGTCATTTTTTGATTACGATCTGCCCGGTTGTGATTGACAGTTCAGGTCACCCCAAGTGAAAGAGGAATTCTGACTTGTTTTCTCCGGCTTATTGCACTTTTCTAAATTTACCAATTTTGTTATGTAAAATGTTCTTCTATGGATCGTTTTTGGTCTGACAGCAAACTGTGATTTTCAGGAACGAAAGTCTAAAGACCCCGAAAAGCGAGGGGAGCATCGCTCTGCTCAGAAGAAGATAGACAAATGCTCTCCGTCCCACAGGCAACCCCCATGTCCAATGATACAAAGTCACAACGGAAAGCCTCCCCTCAAGGAGCGAAAATCCTCCAAGTCTGAGCGAGGTAAAGGTTACTGCCTATGGCTCTGGGATCCTTAGCCAACCTGGGGTGTCATTTTTAGGAATGCCATTCTTGTTACTACCTATATGATCATCTGTCAGGGACGAGATGCATTTAAGAATGAAAATACATTTGTTTTAGAGAGTTTACTTAATATGTCGCCGTGCCCATTTTACCCTTTCGCCATTGCACTGACAGAAGGCTATGATGTGCAAGGGGGGAGGGGCCTGTGCTAGGGCATTGATTCTATATGAAGTAGTCAAATTTTCTAGCTGGTTCAAAGGCACATTGTAAGTAAATAAAAAATAGTTTTGGAAAGTAAAACACTGCATTCAAGAATTTGAAATGTTTGATTCTCCTGGGAGTTGGTGCCCGGGTCCCTGTTCCTGGGAGCTAGCATTATAATTTCCTAGCAAGTACCATAAGATTTCTGCACTTGACTTTATTTTTTAAGCTCAAGCATGCTATTAAATTCCTGCAAGCCTAGGTCATGTCTTATGTAAATACTGCTTTTTTTGGCAATGTTCATTACTCCCAGCACAACATTTGCATTTCAGTTTTTCAGTGGACAACTCATCCATTGTAAACTTTAGGTCCAGTGTGTGTCACATTCTGTGGCTTTCACTGTAGTACTGTGCCAATCTGGCCTTGCACCTTACAAATCGAGGGCTGGACAAGAGAAATCACTTGATTCCCCTACTCATGCTAAAGAGTTTGGATGGAGGAATCTCACTAGCCGATGCCTGCGTCTGTCAGACTAGAGCTGATTGGCTGCAGTCACTCTTCAGCCAAAAATTTTCCATCCGGCTTCTGCGACAAAAGTTTATTGAAAATGGACGTTTGTGTAGATAGTAGGTGCTGACAGGGCTACCCATGGATTGGATTTTGGCCACTCCAGCAGAAAATGTATGGCCAAGTTAAATGTAAAACCAAGCAGGAAGTGTGAGGTTCCATCATAGTACTGCAGTAGGTGTTGGGTGATCTGTGACATATTTAAGCATAGGGTGATTGTAGCCATACCAGTGCACTTGTGATAGCACAGTGAGCACTGTATGTGATACTTTTGAGGGATCTACTGCTTTCACTGGAAGAAGGGAGTGGATCTCTTGATTGATTACCTACAGTACTCAACTGTCTTAACACAATAAAGCCAAGAAAACCCCCCCCAAAAAAAAATTAGTAGGAATAGTAGACATCAACAAGGCTGAAATGTATGAGTTGGTGATAGAAGGGTGTTACATTTTATGTTCAGAAAGATAATATTGACATTTGTTTCCTTATTGCAGAATCCATTGGAGGGTTAAGCCCATTCCATGAAGTCAGGTTTAACAAAACCGGATGTGTCACTTCCTGCTCTTTGGAATACCTGGAAATGCAAAGTCCAGATCCGAGAACACCGAAAATGATGAGACGCCAAGACTCTCACTCCCAGGAGACTGTTAACATGAATATGAATGGTCGCATGAGAGAACCCCACCTCAATGTTGTGCGTTCCTTCGAGTCTGTGAACAGAGAAGACCAGATAGAGTCTTTATCCCCATCTCACCAGTACCGAGTGATCGGTTCACCCATCTCCTTCTCTCCTCGTCACTCCAGCGAAAGAACTCTGTCCCCAATCTTTCAGTTTGACAGCACCACCCCAGTGAAGGCCCATTCCACACTGTCCTCCTTCGCCTACGAGGACAAGAGCAGCCCGTCAAGCTCCGAGTCCATGTCCCCCACTTCCCCCCACTCTCCGTCTTGTAATAACAACGGAAACTTGGGAAGCCCAAACTGTGTCAGGAGCCGGGGCCGATTTCCCATGATGGGCATTGGACAGATGTTGAGGAAGAGGAGCCAAGTGACCTCTCCAAAACCCGAAAACGCCCTGGAATCCAGAATGCCAGCCTTGCATCAAATGAGCCCGGGATATGCCAGTTTCAACTCTAGTGACATGAACGGGTTTTGCTGATGGACATCATTAAAGGACTGCGCTTTTGCCCTGCCTCTGAGGAATCCCCTGACTTCGAGATTGAGAGGAGAATGTTGCTATTCTTGTAAATGTGAATTTTGTAAAATTACAGATTGTATCCATAAAGCTTGATTTGGTTCTACTTTTTTCTCATTGATAAACGATGTCACTTCCTTTGCACTTCCTCGGTATTGATGTCAGTGAGTCTCCAACCTCTACCTGCCTGGTACGGCGTAACTGAAATTCTACAAGGCAACTTTTCCTCGAAGACTACAAAACTGTGTTTTTGTACATCTGCTATGTACTCAAGTGCTACGACCTGCTGTAACTAACTTTATTGAGGTAAACAAGGCTGTGACGAAGTTACACTACCTACCAAGGTACCTACCTGTGTTCCTGACAGGTTGATTTCCTGCACTGACCTTGATACACTTGACTCTGTTGATTTAAAAAGCTGCAGAACTGGAACAACTTTTGCTAGAAGCAGCCATTATAAACAATGGACAGACTCTTATCACAACTCATTGAAGAGTAACAGTGTTTATATTTCATATTGCGTTATCGTTCCATTTATTGTTCCGTCTTTCTATGTGTTCCCTGCACAATGTTTTGTACATACCTGTACGGAGATTACGGGACAAGAGCATGAAAGACACAGGGGTTGCGTTTCTTCACATTAGGGTTCAGCTGCTGAAACATCAGAAGAGTTTTGCCTCTACCCCTTGTTCCTCCGTTTCAAGTCCTTCATGCCAGGATACAGCACTGCCAGCTGTTGTTACGCTCAGAGCAGCCGATGTTTTACTACTAGTTCTCTCTCCATAATGAGTTTTGTATATACTATGGATTGGACATCCCGGTTTCCAAATCCCACAAGAATTTGTCTATCCCTGCTTTGAAGTTGGCTTGTTGCATTTGAAAATTGTTGGCTTTTTAGCACTCTTTGAAGTTGAACTCCAGACAGACATAAAACCTCAGATAATGCAGTTATCTATTCATTAACAAAACCATCAGAATGCTGTTAGTCTCGCCACGCACATTACAATCTGACCATGCAATCTCTGTACAGTCAACCTTAGATCTTCCAAAACTATGTATTGGCTCTACCAAATCTATCCATTCAATCTGTAGCCAATCAGGCAGGGCCTTGAACTACATAATTGTTGGTAGTTCTAAGTGTCACCATGCATGTTACAATCTGACCGTAGAATTCTTGTAAAATCAACTTTAGATCTACCAAAACAATGTAATATGAGGACCTACCTAATCTATCCAATCAATATATATTCAATCAGGCAGGCCATAGTTGTTGGTAGATCTAAAGGCGATTGTAATGTGTGGTGAGCATAAGTGTTAAGATGGCCATACATTATGCAAATTTCACATAGTGGGTGCCGCTGTCAGCATCCTCTGGGCCGGCATCTCTCGATCAGCTGATCGAAGGAGATGGTTGGAAAATCTCCAAATGAACAGAGCCAGCAGCCAATGAGCTGCCAGCTCTGTTGGGGAATTCTGACAGTGGTCAGCCTACAGCATATATGGAACCAGTGGGGATTCCTCGGTCATCTTATTGATGGAGGAACCTGTTTTGTTTTTTGAACGAAAAAAATAGAACAGTGTATGGCCAGCTCAAGTAGCTGAATTAAATTTTGTATCAGCCTCTTATAATCCCCTGTACAGTAGAGCTCAGGCTGGGAGAGGGAGGGGGGACCCATACTAAGAGTCAGTCAGGAGTGCTGCAGTGCTAACAAGGAACTTACTGACGGGAGAAGAAAGATGCATTCATCAGACTGCTGCTGCTCCTTCACTGTCCAATCACATGCTAGGGGCTGGTAGGTGTCCAGGCTGCCGTAAGTAACTGCAGCAGAGAAAAGTCAGGTCAGGAGGTTGTGCTGTATAGGAGGCTTGTGTAAATCTCAGGACTCGATGGACAGAAATACAATCCTCCGTGGCTGGTTAAACTGCTCCCACCTATGCATTTCATCTGTGGATTTAGTTTGAGTGGAGTTCACCTTTAAGTGGAGAATATATGCCAAAACTACTTGCTGAACTTTTAAACTAAAACAAAGTCTCCTGTTCTAAAGCTGAGATAAGTGAGTTACAAAATGCTTGGAGTAAATCAGGCTCATCTCCCGGGAATGTTGCAATTCATGAAGCAAAACATGAATCTAGACTTACTCAACATTCTTGAAATGATCGCCAGTTGCAACCATAGGAAGATCAAAGTGGCCAGGCTTTGAAGTACAATAACATTTCCATAATGTTCTGTTTACGGTCGTACGACCCAGTGACAATGAATAGGCTGGTATGTCTCTGTATATTTTTCTATTCACAGACGTCGCTGCTACAATTTCACAAGATAAAAAAGAACAAAACAGGTGCTTAGGTTTCCTTTCCATAATTACCTTCTTATGACTTCAGAAATGGCTGCACGGTATAAACTGCTCCTCCTGTCTTTTCTTGTATAGACCGTCCTAGTCTATAGAGTGTCTACATTGATAGAAGGCTGCAATTTGGCATTCAATTATTGCACTGGTTCAGCAACTAAGTGTGCGCAAGCTCAGTGAGCGTATGTGATGAGACTTGCAAAGCCAGCTGACAATGAGAAATGTATATAGGCAAAAAAAACTATGGGCTGATGCACACAGGCGTATTCGGAAATAAATACAGGCGTATGAATGTATGGGCAGAAAGCAATGTACCCGCATGCACGCCTGTAAATGGCGATACCAGCATATGCAAAACTTCTGCTTTCAAACCCCCCCCACAACGTGCAAACGCCAGTACCGTTTCCTGTCCATACATTTATATGGACAGAAAAACACAGCAGTTGTGGCTCCCGGGCGCTGCAAATAAGACGTATTTGACTCTGTATGTAAATGTCAGCACGTGCAACTGAATACACCCAGGTGAGTGAGCCCTAGGAGATATAAAATGTATTGATTAATGACATGGCAGACATAATTGCACATTAGGCAAGCTGGCTCTGCTTCCTGATTGGTCCTACTGCGCTTAAAGTTGGCCAGACTCTTTTTGACTTTTCTTGTTCCGCCCAAGGCACTCTTGATTCCCCCTTCCACACTAGCTGCATAGATGGGGGAACCACCTTTCCTTCCCACCAGGACCGCTGTCAGAACTCCCAAACAGCGACAGCAGCTTATTGTGCTGCACTCACCGTTCACACGAACATTTTCGGACCAGCTCCTTCAACAAAGGTCATTGAAAATTTTACTTTTGTCGACGGCGGATCCTGAGGGGGGACACATACTGCTCGAGCAGGACTCGGCCAAAATGTAAGCACTGTATGGCCACCTGAACAGCTCCACTTTCTCAATGTGGCTCATGGTTGACCTGTTTGAGAACAACAGACTCAATACCAGAGTTTATCTCAGCAGCCATTAAGCAGAACTGGTACAGAGATTACCACTTGATGGACGACACTAATCAAACTATGAATGGTACAGCAAGCAAATAAAAGGTGAAAGTCATTCTTAGGCCATGTTTGATCAATGACATTGGCCTAATATGGTCATGTGGCTATATTAGGTCATTGACATGGACCCAGTATGGCCATATAAGGTCAATGATGTCACCAGCATCCCTCCCCTTTGTTTACCTGCAGCTGATTGGGCCGGGTTCGGATAAGCTCGGATTCAGTCCAAGGTCATCCCTAGCGTACACATGAAGGGACAGGAAATGTGTTATTTACAGGATCCCCAGCTAAAAATAAAGGGAGAAAAATCTAAAAAAAAGCGAACGAATGTCGCCACCACATCTAAAGACTGATGAGCTGCAATATATGACATTTTGGGTTTTGGCTTTGGATACATTTTAACACATCACTGCTATGTTTTCAGAATAAATACAGACTGCCTGCTAAGATTCCTCTGCATATGTACAAGTAAAAAGGGGGGAGGTCTGTGGAATGCTGTTGAAAGTCGTGCCGGTAATAACACCCTGTGAGAAGATTTGATTCTGTGTGTAGACAGGAAGGAGAAAGCTGGCAGAGTCTTTGGCCGATCAGATCTGTCAGCTGCGAGCTATGCTGCTGCTAATGAATCCTTGTTCTCATTCTGAACCAAAGAATGTTTTCTGAAGATGTCAGTGATTTGGGCAGAAATACGGGAACATATTACATGAATATGTAATTAGCGCTTATTGTTAGAAGATGTAGCAGAAGAAAATGTTCCTGGTGTGTGGTTTTTTTGTTTTCCTTACCACATGTAACATAAACCATCAAAGGCTGTTCATTTCCTTGTAACACGGATGGTGTTTAAGTCACTGTACATTTTATTTAATTCACAAATGTTCTGGATTTGGGATTTTTGGTTGGGGGTTTTTTGACTGTAATTGAAGCATTTTCATAAAATTGAATTTTTTGTTTAAATCACCTTTGTCTTGCTGTGTTCATGTAAAGGGAGATATTCCCAGCCAGCCATTGCAGCTTATTCTACTGCAGCTATCAAGCTGTACATGTGCACTGAAATATAAATCTAGAATATTAAAGAATAATTCCACCTTTTGCAGAAAAAAATTAAATCTACACTTCTCCATAAAAGCAAAAATGTGCATTTAATATTTTTTTTTGCATTGGAGCTAATAAAGTAGGGGTATGGCGTAACAATCGCCATAGCGACCCAGGCGGCCGCTATGGGGCCCGGGCACAGGGGGGCCCGGCCAGGGCATCCCTCTGATGCCGTGTGGGCCGCCTGGGTCGCTATGGCATGTCGGGTGTTGGCTGTCACTGACACAGCTCGCGTTCAACGTGAAGGAGGCGGGGCCAGCCGAAGGGTAAACCCGCCTCCTCTTACATCACTGGCCAGCGACATAAGAGCAGGTGGGGTCAGTGATGTAAAAGGAGGTGGGGCCCGGGGACGGAAGAGGAGGTGGGGCCCGGCGTCCACCTAGGCGGACAGCGCTGACAGGTAAGAGGTGTGCAGCCCTTCTGAGACCCTGCAAAGCCCACTATAGAGAGTCTATGGCAGGCTCTGCAGGGTCACTCTCAGGTGGGCTGTTTGGTATATCAGGTGGGCTCTGCAAGTGGCATAATCAGCAATCACGGGGCCCCATATAAAATTTTGCTATGGGGCCCTGTGATTTCTAGTTACGCCCCTGGGTGGGCAATTCATTTTCTCAAAGGGCCACATGAGAAACTGGGACTGTTGTAGAGGGCCACATATTACTGTGAAGGTGAATAGGCACACATGCATATATGTAAATTGATAAAAAATCAGAAAGGGGGCAACTAATGTAGGGGGTACTGTGATGGATGCAACTAATAATTTGTTGTCTCCATCAGAGTACCCCCTTACATTGGAT